GGTGAGAGCTGCCATCACCTGTGTTCCATCACACAGAGGAGGGACTGCTTAGTCTAGGTGCCTAGGAGGGCTGCATGGGAACTTTTGATTTGGGAAGGAAGAGGTTTCCGGGGGAGGATAAGGAGGTGAAATACACAGAGTAGAGGGAGGACAGTAGACACTGTAGTGTGTCCTCAGAGAAGAGCAGAAAAGGGAGGAGGCTGGAGTAAAGGGGATACAGAACCTTTAAAGGAGAGCCCAGAAGACACCCAGACTCTTGGTCAGACTCCCTCCAATGTCCATCTGAAGCCCTGTCTGAGAGTACCACAAGAGGAAGCCTTTATACAGAAGCCACAGAGTCCTGTAGAACAAGTCCCATTTGGAGACAGGGGTCGTGACTCCTTCTGAAGTTACCTGGGCATGCTTTCCATCTGTAACAAACAGGGCCAGCTCTAGGAGTACTGTGCAACTAATTTGAACATCTGTAGAGAATGTTCTACAGCATGATTGCCAGAAGTCCAGTACAATAGATTGTCACTAGGACTGATGCTGAAGACACTGGGCAAGAGCAGCTGAGGTCCTCGACACCCCAGACCACAACATAGGGGTTAGCACCTGGAAGCTCATTCTGGAAATTATATGTGTTAACTAGAAGCTTAATGCCTGACCTCTGACACTTAGATTCTCTTCCACCCAGAACTATAGAAACAGCACAAGACACAGCCCGAATATGCATGCACACACCCTAAGCGAACACTGTAGAGTAATCCCCTGTCCATCCCTGGACTCTTTGGTATTCACCATGCGACCGTGCCCAGTCCTCACCTCTTTCCAGGCTGGCAACCTGGGAGTGTGTGGCATTCTGGAGCCAGCCACAGTGGGGACGTTTATACCAGGACGGAAAGCAAATGCTCTGACTTGAGAGCCAATATGGCAGGCCAAGCCCCAGCAGCAGATATAATGGGGATATTTGAATAACCCTGACCCTTCTTCCACAGTATGCTCTGTAGACTGGTCTCAATAGACCTGTTTTAAAAAATGTCAGATCTCAGGTCTCTGAGGGTAATCCATTCGAGATGTAACATTTTGAGCAGTTAGGGTTAGCAGACTTTTTTTTGTTTTTTTTTTTGTTTTTTTTTTTGTTTTTGTTTTTGTTTTTCGAGACAGGGTTTCTCTGTGTAGCTCTGGCTGTCCTGGAACTCACTCTGTAGACCAGGCTGGCTCGAACTCAGAAATCCTCCTGCCTCTGCCTCCCAAGTGCTGGGATTAAAGGCGTGCGCCACCACCGCCCGGCTAGGGTTAGCAGACTTAAGGGGGCTAAAAGAACTCACTTCCTGTTCCAGAGGGAAATGAGGGTTTTGAAGAAGAATGGAACACTGCTGACTCTTGAGAATAGCATTGCTCTCTAAAGGGTCAGGTCCCTCCGATTTCCCCCACATCATCAAGAGAATAATTAAGAGGGTGGAAACCAATAATCCATATTTTCTCCAGCCACATAACTGCTTTATTTCTTCCATGCATTTTACATGCTCGAATAACACATACATGTGTGCACACATGCATTTGAACATGTGTGCACACACAGGTACACGCACATGTACACACACAGACACGTATGCACACAAACACACACACATTTATGTAAGCTGTTGGTGAGTGAATTTTTTCTCACATTGGTGTTCAGCACATTGGCATCCCAGAAGGAATTAACACCTTAGACTTTGGTCTGCTGACTTTTCTGAAAAGGAGATTTTGTAAAATTCCTCGCCATCCGATTCGGTTTTGTGTTTTGTCTTTGGCGCAGGGTTGGGCTGGGAGGTAGAGCTGCTCAGAGAAGGGTGACACCTGGGACATAATCTTCAGAACTGACCGTCTTTGTTCAGGACTGGCTGCAGGGAGCAGTCACAACAGAACCCTTCAGAAACGATCCTAATCTGTCGGATTCTGGGAGGTATTTTGGCAGTTTATCAACAAGCCCCTTGTTGACTCGTCTGATTACGTCTGTATACTCTAGATGCTAGGGCGGTGCTTCTCAACCTTCCTACACTTAATCGTGCTGTGGTGACCCCCAACCATAAGATTGTTTTTGTTGTTACTTCATAACTGTAATTTTGCTACTGTTATGAGTCACAATGTAAACATGTTTGGAGACAGAGGCTTGTTAAAGGGTTTCAACCCACAGGTTGAGAAGCTACTCTAGAGTCTTTCTTGTGTTGCTCCACAGATGCTAAGGATGAGTTTAGATCACCTGGGTTTGGGGTGATATTAATAACTTGTCAATTGACAACTATAGAACCAGAGTGGGTGGAAGTGCCACCAGCATCCCTCATTGTTGACGGAGTGTGTGTGTGTGTGCACATGTATTAGTGGAAGTCTGAAGTTGATGGTGAACATCTTACGTCTTCAGTAATACACATTATTTACTGAAGTAAGTAAGGCCTCTCAGTTGAACTCAGAGTTCGCTGATGGGCTAGTCTACCCTACCCAGCTCGCTCTAAAGATCTTGTTTCTGCTTCCTAAGTACAGATCCTTACATCTGCCAGATGTTTACCCGGATTCTGGGTATGCAAACTTTGATCCTCATGGTTGTCCTGTAAGTGCTTTATCCACTGAGCCATCGTCCCAGCCTGAAACTACAGTTTTTCACTGCAGGTCTTGCTTATTCACTCAGTAAGTTTATATGGAGTGCTTTCTCTGCCTTCACTGCACTGGAGGATTGGATGAGCAGAGTGAGAGAAAAATTCTAAAGCTCCCAGTGTTTGTGACCGATTGCTCATTTGACCTCACAGGTAAGGAGAGTCAGAAAGACCAGCAGGGGAGGGGAGCATGGAAGTTCTCCAGGTAAAGAGCAGCACAAAGTGGGAGGAGCTACCTAGTGGGTAGTCGGGTATTTAACCCGTGGTGGTTGAGGCAGGGAAGAGCTTAGGAACTGGGCTGAAGATGAACTGCATAGACAGATGTGGAAATACCAACTGAGAGGTGGTCAAATGTCTAGTGTGCCAGGACAAACAGTTTAGTTTTTGTTCTGGACACATTTGCTATCCATCTAACCTGCAAGTACGCCCTCTCATTTACTCTACCCTCAGTCCCAGGCCCTGGCTCTCCAGCTAAACAACTGTACCAAGCCCAAGATTTCCTTTGGTTTCTTCTTCCAGTTATCTTGAAGGTTTCCTTGTATATATTCAACTTCAAAACCATCTGGCCTCACGTGTGCTACCTGAAGACTGTCCAGGTGATGGTGCCATTATAAACAAGGGATGAAGCAGTCAGGTGACAGTGTGGTTTCCCTGGCCTGGTGGTTGGGAGCTATGGACCCAGGATAAGGATGGTATTGAGGCAGACGTACTAAGCACACAAAGATGTGAAAATCTGCCTCTGACAAGTAATTCTTTCTAAAGCCAGTTATGAAGCACTAGAAGCACGTGAGAGCACATGCCCTCTGCATAGGGCACACTTGAGTATTTCAAATGAAAATAAACCAGAGAATTAAGAATGCACCGTTTCTTTAAATCTATAGATTAGCCTTGTGTTGAATTGATTTTGATCTGGTTAGAGTGACAGGAGGAGGGAGGGTCAGATTTTCTTTAACAAGTTAAAGTTTGTAATACACTAATTTAGTATTTTTCACTGTCCCTATAGCGAGAAATAATGTGCTGATTAGCTCTCCCTCCCCCACCCCCCACCTGCTATTAGATTTCTCCTCCCACGTATACACAAACATGCTGTTAGGTAAATAAGAACCACCCAGAGAACTATTGATAACATTTTAAAATACGTTTTAAATTCTCTGTTCTCTGCATGGTTTTAAGCCCAACTGCTTAAAAATGTTACACAGTTTTGAATCTGACTTCACCTCGATGCACTTTTTTTTTCTTTTTCTTTCTTTTTTTTTGTTTTTTTGTTTTTGTTTTGTTTTGTTTTTCGAGACAGGGTTTCTCTGTGTAGCCCTGGCTGTCCTGGAACTCACTCTGTAGACCAGGCTGGCCTCGAACTCAGAAATCCACCTGCCTCTGCCTCTGCCTCCCAAGTGCTGGGATTAAAGGCGTGTGCCACCACCACCCGGCCCACTGCACTTATCATATGATAAAACTATTAAGATAAAATTTTATTAAAACTTTACCTTTATAGCTGCCAAGAGCACCACGGTGTGGATGCTGCACAACTCACTGAACCGATCTTTTTTTCGGAAGGGCTTAGCAAGTCTCTCACATTTTGATCTTATTAAAAGACAGTGGCCATGTTATTTTCTCTGCCTGTTAGTATGCTGCTTTTTCCTTTACATGAGGTTTTAGGAAATGGAATTTAAGAGGGAGGTTTTTATGCTGAGACTTACTTCCTTCATGCCGTACTGAGCCCAGATCGGTACTTGGACTTCGGAAGGTCCCAGTCCCTGAGTTCTCAGCTCTTTTCTCTGAGAGTTGTCGGTCCCACCCCTCATCCCCAGTTTCTCCCCTAGGTCAGAGGAAACATTTATAAAAACAAAACAGCAGACCCAAGAAACAAATTCTCTGGGTATGGAATTATTTGTTTTTTTTCCCTCCTGTGATTCCAAGCGCAAACCAAGTCTTCCCATCTATAAACCAATCTTTTTTATGAAGAAAAAAAAAGTCGCTCACGATCCTTTTGACTTGCGTTTCAACTTGCGGTTTGGGAACTTAAATTTCAGATCTGCAAGTTGCATGACAGGTTCCTGTTAAACAGTTTACCGCTCACTTTTACACCTCTGGGGAGGGGTGACGCACCTATCCATCCGGGACAGCAGCTTCCCGGCGGCCGCTGCCCTGCACCTGCTGGAACCACCATTCGGACTCAGGACCGCGAGGGTCAGTTTCTTAGGGCGAAAGTCCCCGTGCTGCAGCGTCCTCTGCCATAGGGGTCACCCGCCCTTGAAGCGCGCGGGACCACTTTGCTGAGCTGGGGTGCTCGGGACAGAACGCCACCTTGAGCTGAGGCTCGCCGGACCGAGCGCCACCGCCACTCGGGGTTCAGGCACCCGACGGGTCCCGCGTGTCCACACTCACCTCCGCCGTACATCTGGCACAGGTAGGGGAAGCGCCACACGTTGCCCAAGCCCACGGCGTAGGAGATACAGGCGAACACGAACTGCAGCGGATTGCCCCATTGAGGCCGTGCCTTCTCCATGTCCCGCGCTTGCTCCTCGGCTTGGCCTGGTCTCTGGCCGCTGCTCGCCCGCCTTTTAATTGCTAATCTCATTAACGCGCACGAGAGGGGCGAGGCCGGTAAGTGGGGAGCGGTGAGCCCCACCCTGCCTAGCCTCGGCGGGGAAGGCGCCCCTACTTGGCACCGTGTGTGGACTTCAGAGCTCGGGGAAAGGATCACGTTTCTTCAACTTCTTCCTGATTAATCGATGACAATACTATATGCCTGGCACTGCTGTGCAACGGGAAAACACAGCACCCCCTCCCTTCCAGGGTTCACATACAGGTGGCGGGAACGTTTAAATACTACGAGGTGACTTGTTCTTAACTTCTTTTGACTCACTGGGGGGGTAATTTCATTTGATTCGTACCACCTAGTTCATCTAAGCCGGTGATGCAGGGGCAATTTAGGTAAAGCAGAGAGAGAGAGAGAGAGAGAGAGAGAGAGAGAGAGAGAGAGAGAGAGAGAGAGAGAGAGAGAGAGAGAGAGAGAGAGAGAGAGAGGGAGGATGACTTTTGCACAGAGAGGGTGGGTGTGGAGGTTCGGTGACAGAGCACTCCCTTAGCACTTCGGAGGCCCTGAGTTTAATCCTAGCACACATGGGAGACCTAAGGGTCTCCATCTACCTGCCCTTGCCTGCACCTGTAGTGTGGGCAGAATCAGGTTTTGAACAACTGTCGCGAGGCTAGTGGGAGTTAGAGATGCTTATTCCCTAGGTTAGGCGGAAACCCGAAATGTCTCATGCTTTTGCCAGTCTAACAAGGACCTGACTCTCGAAGTTTGGTACAGTGATGTCGGGTCTGTTGTTTGTGTCTATAGTCCACCACAGATAAACTCTGACTTGGCAAGTCATTTAACATATTGTCTTCGTTTTGTTTTGTTTTTGTTTTTCAAGACAGGGTTTCTCTGTGTAGCCCTGGCTGTCCTGGAACTCACTAGGTAGACCAGGCTGGCCTTGAACTCAGAAATCTCCCTGCCTCTGCCTCCCAAGTGCTGGGATTAAAGGCGTGGGCCACATCTTTGACCCTCTTTCATCTGTAATAGAAAAAAAAATTCTGCCCCCACCCCCACCCCCTCAAACTCAAAATATCTATCCTGGAACTTTTAACCTTAAAACAGTAAAGAAAGCAAAGTCACAGTGCAGCAGAAGGAACTCTGGATTCTTACACTCTAGATTATGTGTATGAAATCTCCTGCGTCCTCCCATGTCTAGTCCCAGTCTTGTTGATGGACGTTTGTGCTGTCCAGTTTGTGGCTACTGTGAACAGAGCTCAAGTGAACATTCTAACATGATGGGTGGATGGACTGGTGGGAACTTTGGGACTATGGGTGGCATCAAGCAATATCAGTTCGAATTCCCATTAATCCCAGCTGCCCTGCATCTTTACTTCACTCCACAGTCTGGGTTGTTTTTTGTTTGTTTTTTTTTAAACAAAACAAAAACAAGTATTTATTGGGACCAGGTGCCACGGCATGAGTGGAGGTCAGGGAAAGTGATCTTACCATCTCGCTGGCACTGCCATTCTATTTAAAAAGTTCTGTCTATACTGGAGATCAGGCCTCTATCCCCACCTTTGCAAGATTAGAATTGCCACAGCCCTTCTATACTTAGAGAAGGGAGGAGATGTCAGGGGCAGCCCTGCTTATACACTGAATGCCTAAAATCAGCAATAGGCCTAAAATCAGCAATAGGCCTGTCATACATGTATACTAACACCAAGTCTTGGGTCTCTATGGAAAAACACTGAAACAGATGGCTATAAGCTATTGTAAACAGGCAGCTTTTGTGGAAATTTACCAGCCTGAGTAGTCATAGACCTTGTAAATAGATAGCCTTGCAGATAATACCAACTTAGATAAGGACAAGTGAATCATAGACAGAGTCATAGTGACCTGTCCCTTGAACCTTCACCCAGCTGATACCCTGTTCTGAAAGATATCTGTATTCCCCCTGAACACCCACACTCTGGTGTCATCCCCTTTCCCATGTCCTGCCTTTTTGTGTTTATAACCCCTGTGTGAATAAGTAAAAATTACGATTAAAAAAAAAAAGTTCTGTCTAGACTTGTGACTGTGTGCTGATGGTGCAGTTTGCCTTTTGACTTCCCTGACAACTGACAACCTTTCCATATGCTCAGTGGGCCATGGAAAGAGCCACTTTTCTGAAATTTCTGCCCCCAACCCTTTCTTTGGTCAGTTTTTCCTGGGTTTCTTTTTCTACTGATTTGCATTTCTATCCCTGCTCTGGCTATGAGCCCCATGTCTGCTTTATACACCAACACTTTCACATCTTAAGTATCTTCTGATGAAGAGAATTCTTAACTTCAAGAAAGTAGAGTTTGGGCAGGAGACGTAGGTAGCTTAGTGGGTAGAGGACTTGCCCAGCGTGTATGAGACCCTGTGCTCTAGTCCTAGCTTTCCGTAAACTGGGTATGTACAGTGGTATATATCTGTAATCCCAGTACTTGGGAGGTAGAGGCAAGAGGATCAAAAGTTCAAGGCAATCCCCAGCTACATAGCAAGTTCAAGACCAGCCTGTTATAGGAGACCGTATTTCAAACAAAGCAAACAACCCAAGTAGGCTGGAGGATCAGAGTTCAGCTTCCAGCACTTACACAGTTAGCTCACCACACCTATAACTCCAGCCCTAGGGAATCTGATGCCTTCTTTTGGTTTTGAAGGGCACTTATATGCATCTGAACACACACACACACACACACACACACACACACACAAGTATATATATTTAACAAACTTTTTTTAAAAAAAAAAAAAAAGGTTCTCGCCGGGTGGTGGTGGCACACTCCTTTAATCCCAGCACTTGGGAGGCAGAGGCAGGCGGATTTCTGAGTTCAAGAGTTCGAGGATAGCCTGGTCTACAGAGTGAGTTCCAGGACAGCCAGGGCTACACAGAGAAGCCCTGTCTCGAAAAAAATTTAAAAAAAAACCAACAAAAAAATTAACAACAACAACAAAAGCCCAACCTCTTCTTTATTGACTCCAAGGTCATGAAGGTTTCTTATCTCCAAGGTCATGAAGCATCAACTCCTTAGCAAAGCAATTCTCTGCAGTGAGCAGATAGTTACTGCCTCCTGAGACTCTCTCACTGATCCCGGATCTCACTGATTCTGCTAGGCTGGCGCTCAGTGCACTCATGTTTTTGATATCATAAGTTAGTCTTTCTTCAGAGTTCTTAGCTACACAGTGACATTTGGAAACTGGGCACCTCAGAAAAACACTCAGAACAGTTACCAGGCACCGGAAATCTGAGTTGACATGGAGAATTTGTTGATTAAGGCAATGACTTTTTATTCCCTACTCCAGGAACCAGACCAGGATCTGGTCTTACCTGCCTTGTGAAGCTAGCCCAGTATGTAAGGCTCTGTGTGTGAGAATCTCTGTCTCTGTCTCTCTGTTCTCTGTAGTATGTGTAGCATAAAGAATCACTCAGGCCAAGTAAATGCAATTACTCAGTTCACCAGGCCGTCTTGTAACTCTAATCTGACAAGATCCACTGAGCGATGGGCTGCTACAGTCACGAAGACTGTGGTGGTTAGGACTTCCACAAGGAGAGAGTAAGGCAGTGTGTGGACAATGATGGTAGACTAACGCGTCTTTATGCACTTTCTGCAGAAAACACCTCTCATCTGTTTATTCATTTCTGTGGTGTAAATATCTCAACACTAGCCCATTTTGAGCTTCCGACCTGTTATCACTGGGGTTGGTAATCTCACTGATGTAGGTGGCCTAAAGAGCTTAGCTGAGAGGAAAGGGAAACAGCAAATAGCTGGGAATGATTTCTAAGTCTTAATCCTATTTACACAACGTATATGACCACTGAGTCCTCGATGATAAATGTATTTAATAGAACAAGTTCTTAAAATCCCTATGCATCTCCCCCCATGTACAGAGGATTGGGCAGTAGAGCAAGCTCAGCTCTTTGAGGTGTTCTCTTTGGGGTGTTCGGAGCCCCAGAAGCAGTTGTCAGATAAGCATTAGTGCTCAGGGGAGCCTACTCTAGTTTGTGGAAGAACCCCTTTCTTCAGATTGTACCTTCACGATCAGGACACAAAGGCCTGAAGTTCCTGTTATCCATGTTCTGGAAGAGAAGAGGAGGGAGACAAGGCCTGACTGAGTACATGGGTGCAGGCTACTAAGTATGTCCCGGAATTCTATATTCTTGCCCTATCAACTATGATGGTGACGTAGCTTTCAATCATTTGCTCGTCCTGGTGATTTCCATTGTTACCTAACTACCATCGAGAGCTTTCAGTTCCCCACGAGATAAAGTCCAAACTCCTTAGCTTTGTCTGGAAAGCTTTGAGAGTTTTTATAATTGAGTTCTGAGGAATTTGACCTTGCATACCTGGGTTCTAGAAAACAGAGTTTAACTCTGTATAAAAACACACAGCATTTTGCAGCAGGTGAAAAATCTATCTTCTGAGGATGAATAGGACATAATCTAAGCTACAGCCCAGAAGGGGTGCATACAGTGGACTTTTCAGAACAAACGCAGCTCTGCAAGGCTTGGGGCACCAAGAGCTGGCTCAGTGGTTAAGTGCACTTATTACTTATCATTCTTGCAGAGGACCTGGGCCAATTCCCAGCATACACATGGTGGGTCACAACTGTCTGTAATTTCTTTGCCAGGGGATCTGACACACTCAGGAACATATACATACATTAAATGTTTTTTTAAAAGTCAGTAAATGAAGCTTTATAATATTACCATGCATATGAAGGTAGTGGTTTTTCCATGTATTTTAAGATAAATACTAAGAATTTTAAATAAGTTCTCCTCCTTCTGTATTCCCAGGGACATGTGTCTCATACTAGGTTATGTCCTTTTTAAGAAACTGTCCACAGAGCCCTAAGGTCCCCGGAATTTTGCTATTGTGGCCAGAAGTAGCCCACTACCATAACTTGTGTACACTGTATTTCCACGTGGTATTTAATTTGCCGAGTGTTAAGATCTCCACTACCAGAAACTTGCAGCTAAGCCTATTTTTGTAAAGAGAGAAACTGGAATTTGCTGTCCATTATGACAATCATAACTGGTGGCTTCTGTGTGTGAGGACACAGAACATGCTCACTACACAACTTCA